TCGCTACTATTTGTGGGTACCTGCGGGAACACTCAACAATGATCAAAAATATGTGATCGTACGCGTCAAAGGGTTAAGAGAACCAGGGTTGCATACCATAACACAAAGTTCTCTTTCAGTTGACTCGATTCAACATCTCACTGTGGGACACTTGCAAAATGCCCCTATTGCCAATGGTCTGTATCCTGAAAGGCCTGTTGTGGTAAATGGTAATGTACCGGATCCATCCTACTGAGCTCTACCGCCAAGGACCACCAGGCGATAGAACCTTACAAAAGGTATGAGGGGAAGCCCAACTAGCCGCAGCACAATTCTCAGAGACAGAGATGCCTCTGAACAGTGACCATGACATGACAATTCCACTAGTGGAATGTGCCCGGACACCCAGGGGTGACTGCAATCCCCGACAACTGTACGCCTTGACGTTAGCATCCATTACCCAGTGGGAGAGGCATTGTTTGGACAAAGCCCGACCTTGAGCAGGGTTGGAAAAGCAAACAAACAGTTGATCAAAACTCCGGAATGGCCTAGTCCTGTCCATGTAGACACAACGTGTTAAGGCGCCGCTGCTCTGGAGAAGAGAACGGCAGACGGTGGAAGGGGAAGAGGTCAGTGGCTTGACTACTAGAACTCATGGGAATGACTTTAAGAATGAACGCGGCGTTAGGACATATCATAACCTTGGAGTAGTCGGGGGAAAACTGAGTGCATGAAGGATGAACCGAGAGAAAGTTCACATCGCTAATATTTAGATTTTTAGGGCATGATCATTACACAGGTGCACCTTATGCTGGGGACACAATGCCACAGATGACTCAAGTTTTGAGGGAGCATGCAATTGGCATGCCTACTGCAGGAATGTCCACCAGAGCTGCTGCCAGAGAATTGAATGTTCATTTCTCTACCATAAGCCGCCTCCGACATCGTTTTAGAGAATTTGGCAGTACTTCTAACCGGCCTCACAGCCGCAGACCACGTGTATGGCATCGTGTGGGCGAGCAGTTTGCTGATGTCAACGTTGTGAACAGAGTGCCCCATGGTGGTGGTGGGGTTATGGTATAGGCAGGAAACGCTGCTGGGAGGCATTTTATCGATGGCAGTTTGAATGCTCAGAGATACCTTGACGAGATCCTGAGGCCCATTGTCGTGCCATTAATCTGCCGCCACGCCTCATGTTTCAGCATGATAATGCACAGCCCCATGTCACAAGGATCTGTACACAATTCCTGGAAGCTGAAAATGTCCCAGTTCTTCCATTGCCTGCATATCCACCAGACATGTCACCCATTGAGCAGTTGGGGTACGACAGCGTGTTCCAGTTCCCACCAATATCAAGCAGCTTCACACAGCAATTGAAAAGGAGCGGACAACATTCCACAGGTCACAATCAACAGCCTGATTAACTCTATGCGAAGGAGATGTGTCGCGTTGCATGATGCAAATGGTGGTCACACCGGATACTGACTTGTTTTCTGATCCACGCACCTACCATCTTTTATCTGTGACCAACAGATGTATATCTGTATTCCAAGTCATGTGAAAGCCATAGATTAGGGCCTAATTCATGTATTTCAATTGACTGACTTCCTTATATGAACTGTAACTCAGTAAAATCTTTGAAATTGTTGAATGTTGATTTTTATATTTTTTCAGTATATTTTGTATTTCCTTTTTTACCTGTGTTGAACTGAACTGTATTGCCGGTCTACTGTAAAAAATAATAATATTGAAAATGTGAATAAAAATGTATTTTGTATAAATTGTCCAAATTTCATTCTTGTCTAAAACCGATGAGAGTGGATTTATAATATTGAGTGATCTTATCTTCCATCAGAGGTGATGCAGATTAAACTTGTTGCTGATCGTCAATCAATAATTCTGATTTAAGTTGATGTATTCTTATTGTTTTGTTTATTTGTGTAATTTCTTTTTAATACGTTTTTTGTACTTGTGAGGGTTACTGTTCTTTTAGTTTTTCTTATTTGTTTTTGTGTGTCAATCACACTGGGGCAGTGGGCTGAAGGGGGTGGGGAGATTTGGGTGAGGAGTAGAGGATAATCTGGGGGACCAGGAACTTTTAGCTCCCACTTGCCATTGTGGGATGTTTATTTATAAAGACTGTCCATTGTATTAAACACCTACTGTATGTCTTACTATGATTGGGTTAAAAAGAAAAAGAAAAATGTAATTTAGCTTAGTCATATATAAAAACATATATATAACTTTTAAGTGGCATCATGAAGATCCTCCTAATATCTGTCAATGGATAAATGAGGTCAATTCCTGTATGACTTTAGAAAAAAAGTATTTATTATATAGCCCAACATGGTAGCACACAGTCCTTTCATAAGACTTGGAATTCCTGGATAGAATAGTTCTTGTAGATATGTATCGATTTGTATAATGGTATGAGGTTATTTGAGGTAACATCTAGAATGGTGTGTATGTGTGTTTATATTGTGTGTTTATATTGTATGTTGTAATACTCATATGCGCTGTATTTGAATGTATTAAGGTGTTTGGTGTATTTGTAAAAAAATAGTTTAAAAAAACATTAAATGACTTGGCACATGAAAGTGTCAACGAATGCAATGTGAAAAATCAACTTTTTTTTTTTGTTAAACTTTTTACCTGTCTAGAGTGGCTCACCATGTGTTATTTACATTTACATTTACATTTACGTCATTTAGCAGACGCTCCTATCCAGAGTGACTTACAAATTGGTGCATTCACCTGATAGCCAGTGGGATAACCACTTTACAATATTATTATTAATATTTTTTTGGGGGGGGTGGTGGGGTGGGGTAAGGGGGGGGGGTTAGAAGGAATACTTTATCCTATCCCAGGTGTTCCTTAAAGAGGTGGGGTTTCAAATGTCTCCGGAAAGTGGTGAGTGACTCCGCTGTCCTGGCGTCGTGAGGGAGCTTGTTCCACCATTGGGGTACCAGAGCAGCGAACAGTTTTGACTGGGCTGAGCGGGAACAGTGCTTCAGCAGAGATAGGGGAGCCAGCAGGCCAGAGGTGGAAGAACGCAATGCCCTCGTTTGGGTGTAGGGACTGATCAGAGCCTGAAGGTACGGAGGTGCCGTTCCCCTCACAGCTCCGTAGGCAAGCACCATGGTCTTGTAGCAGATGCAAGCTTCAACTGGAAGCCAGTGTAGTGTGCGGAGGAGCGGGGTGACGTGAGAGAACTTGGGAAGGTTGAACACCAGACGGGCTGCGGCATTCTGGATGAGTTGTAGTGGTTTAATGGCACAGGCAGGGAGCCCAGCCAACAGCGAGTTGCAGTAATCCAGACGGGAGATGACAAGTGCCTGGATTAGGACCTGTGCCACTTCCTGTGTAAGGCAGGGTCGTACTCTCCGAATGTTGTAGAGCATGAACCTACAGGATCGGGTCACCGCCTTGATGTTAGCGGAGAACGACAGGGTGTTGTCCAGGGTCACGCCAAGGCTCTTCGCACTCTGGGAGGAGGACACAACGGAGTTGTCAACCGTGATGGCGAGATCATGGAACGGGCAGTCCTTCCCCGGGAGGAAGAGCAGCTCCGTCTTGCCAAGGTTCAGCTTGAGGTGGTGATCCGTCATCCATACTGATATGTCTGCCAGACATGCAGAGATGCGATTCGCCACCTGGTTATCAGAAGGGGGAAAGGAGAAGATTAGTTGTGTGTCGTCTGCGTAGCAATGATAGGAGAGGCCATGTGAGGATATGACAGAGCCAAGTGACTTGGTGTATAGAGAGAATAGGAGAGGGCCTAGAACTGAGCCCTGGGGGACACCAGTGGTGAGAGCACGTGATGCGGAGACAGCTTCTCGCCACGCCACTTAGTAGGAGCGACCGGTCAGGTAGGACGCAATCCAAGAGTGAGCCGCGCCGGAGATGCCCAGCTCGGAGAGGGTGGAGAGGAGGCTCTGATGGTTCACAGTATCAAAGGCAGCAGACAGGTCTAGAAGGACAAGAGCAGAGGAGAGAGAGTTAGCTTTAGCAGTGCGGAGAGCCTCCGTGACACAGAGAAGAGCAGTCTCAGTTGAATGAGCAGTCTTGAAACCTGACTGGTTTGGGTCAAGAATGTCATTCTGAGAGAGATAGCAAGAGAGTTGGCTAAAGACGGCACGCTCAATAGTTTTGGAGAGAAAAGAAAGAAGGGATACTGGTATGTATTTGTTGACATCAGAGGGATCGAGTGTTGGTTTTTTGAGAAGGGGTGCAACTCTCGCTCTCTTGAAGACGGAAGGGACATAGCCAGCGGTCAAGGATGAGTTGATCAGCGAGGTGAGGTAAGGGAGAAGGTCACCGGAGATGGTCTGGAGA